ATGATAGTAGTAATGATGATAATAATGATACTGTTATTATTATTTTTGTGGTTGTTACTTTTTGTTATTGTGTATCTTTCAACATTATTAGTATAACTTATTGTTGTTGTTATTACTATTACTATTATTTTTTTATTATTATTATTAACATCATTATTATTATTATTATTATAATTATATTATTATCATTATTATTATTGTTGTTGATGTCGTTACTGTTGTTATTATTGTTATTATTATTATTATTATTGTTGTTGATGTCGTTACTGTTGTTATTATTGTTATTATTATTATTATTATTATTTATTGTTGTTATAATTATTATTACAGTTATTATTATTGGTATTGATTATTGTTGTTATTGCTATTATTATATATTTGTATATATATTATTACTGGTAGAATAATTCTATAATGATAATAATAATTACTATTATTATTAGTAGTAGTAGTGGTAGTGGTAGTAATATAATAGGCCTGATTATTATTACTAAATTTATTATCCATGGTGTCATCACCAATAGTAGTATTCTATGGTCAGTTTTGTTGCTGGTGATATTGTTTGGTTATTAATAACATTATCATTATCATTCCTGTTGTTAATACCAACGTTACAATCGATTTATTTCCCCATTCACCTTTTTTTATTCACTGATCGTTTGTCCTGATAAATAATCTTATCAGAGTGTGATTACGTCAGGTGAACAAACGCCTTATCATGTCACCAGAACTTGCCAGATGAAACGCCGAATTGTTGTTGAAATTACGTAGTGAACAAAATGATGCAATAGCCCTTTGTGTGTGCTGTCCGTTGGTCTTTTGCTCTTATCTTTCGGTTTAAGTCCTCCGTCTTTTTTTTCTTCTTCTTCTTCCCTTTCCCTTTTTCTTCTTTTTTTCTCCCTTTCCCTTCTTTATTTTTTATTTCATATATACACGCCATTCTACAGCTATATCAGTAATATATATATGTATGTATGTATGTATGTATGTAAGTGTAGTTGCCCGAATGATGGGCCCTACAAGAGTATGGTAGGTGGCGAACTTAGGGTGAAAGGTAGACAACCAAAATGTCTTGATTCCTTTATTGTATAGTAAAGATGGAGTACGGCTGCGCCGAGGAGCGAGGTGCTGCTCCTTGGCCCCCCGCAGGGAGTCAGCCTGTCATCTACTACAGTAGTCTAGAGATGGGTATAAATCACGTGTTTAGCATGTGACGATCGGTGGCGCAGAAAGGTAGTGTTACAACAATACATAGCTCTTGCAGAAAGGGATAGACAACACAACAATGGAATGTCTAGTGTGGCAAGCAGATACGAATAAACAGGTAAAGCAATGGACATGCTTCCCACACTGGAATGTCTAGTGTGGTAAGAAGAGATGAACATTCAGTTAAAGCAATGGCCATGTGTAAATATATATGTAAATGTATGTGTGAAGATACATATATGACAATCATGTAAGCTTATATAAGATATGTAGAATATAATATGATATAGATAAAGCTGGGTTACATAAGTATGTATAAACAGCACATATGTATGTGTTTGTGTATGTATGTATGCGTGCATACATATATATATTCACTTGTCTATATACTATACACGAAAGTATATATTCTTTAACTGAAATTTAATTAATATTTTAATGCGTCCAGATAGAAGTTAACTGACTTCACTTGTTCCCATGTTGGCATATGCTTATCAGGAATGTCACACATTAAAGGCGGTACGAGAGTGAAAGTGTCCTGCATTTTAGTTGCAAAAGGCATATTGGCTTGCACTCTGCACGCGACCGAGCTATAGTCGCCATGTTTTTTTGCCTGGTCAGAAGCCGAGAAACTGATTGGTCGCTATGGATTATTCGTTTCGTCGTGGTCACTTAAAGAATAACAAACATTTGAAATTAGATAAGCTCGGTCCATTGGCCCTTTCAAATGTTTAAGCGTGAATTGCATTCAGATCGAGGTCAAGGATAACAGAATCCTCGAATGCAGCTGTTTCATTAGTCCTTTGTGTTTTGTTTATTCTTAGCAAGTATAAATAAACATAAACAATGATCAGACGACTGCTAGTTGAGGACTTGTTGAAACGATTAGCATTGACACCCGTCAAGTGGCTGTTCTGCGGACCATTTAACCTCTCCTCTGCATGCGGTCTGTTTATAGGGTTTTGCCAAATATGTAATGGTTTGGCATATAACTAGTTAATGCAAAGTATAGCCGACTGCCTGGTGTGCTCTGTTTTTAGTTCCATTTGTCTTATGCGTATTTCTATTTGGCATAAAACATGGAAAGAATGAACTGCGTTGGAATATTATCCTTATCTTCGATAGATCTGTATGTTTCTTGTTTTGATATTATTTTACAGAAGAACAGGTCAAAGGTCAAAGTGTGAACGTCATGTGGATGTGGTGAGCATAGTATTACAGATCACCTCTTTAGCTATGAATAGATGGCGTGACTTTTATGCAGTTATGAAATAAGTTATATATAGTAGCGAAATTGTTATACAGGATAGCATTAGGACCCTGAAAGAGAGAGCTAGCCCATGAAATTTGGAAAGTGGTAAAGGCAATTTAGATTTTTAAACCAGCACAGAGAAAATTGTTTCCACAGTGTTGTATAGGTACCATTTTCCTTCACACGTCTGCAAAATGTTGTCCAGTTGTGTGTGTGTGGGGGGGGGAGTGGCCATCATCCAATTCGCTGACACATTTAGCAAGATCATTGGTAGTGAAGGAAGCAAATTACCTTTTATGAGAGTTATTACCCGAGTTGCAGTTAGAAGCAAGACAGGTAGCAATTATGATGAGTAATTTGCGATGTAAAATTACTTTTATGTTGCAAATGAACTAATCGCTCGCACTTGTGTAAA